CCCTGCAACCCCCCCTCCAGGGACCCCCAGACTGGGGTGCTGGGCAAGTGCCAGCTTTGGCCAGCTCCTGTGCCAGCTACCGGCTCCTGCCCCAGGTTTCCAGCCCTCCCTGTCCCCCCAGATGTGGCCCAGCTGTCGGTGCTGATCCAGAAGCTGGTCCCTGGCTCCCGGCTGGTGGAGGACATCGGGCACGAGGTGCTCTTTGTCCTGCCCTACAGCGGGGCCAAGGATGGGGCCTTCGGGGACCTCTTCCGCGAACTGGACGCCCGCCTGGGGGAACTGGGCATCTCCAGCTATGGCATCTCCGACACCACCCTGGAAGAGGTATGCAGAAGAGCTGCGGCTCCTGGGGTGCCCACCCTCCCTGGAGCTCTGCCGGGGGCTGCCCGTGACCTGGGGATTTGCCTCACTGGGGCAGTGGATGCCGGCAGCGTGTTTAATGCCAGCCCCCTCCTGCCCTCAGATCTTTCTGAAGGTGGCCCAGGACATGGGGGTGGACACTGACATGGCAGGTAAAATGCCTTGGTGCTGGCTGGAGCTGAGCTTCAGGGTGCCGGGCTATGGGGTGGGGAGCCGGGGGGAGATGCTCAGCAGCCCAGAGCAGAGGGATGCAGGTGTCCCCAGCACCCCATGTGGCCCTCGCCCTTCCCAGGTCTGGGGTCCCTGCTGGGAGCACCCATGGGTACGGGGAGGTGTCACAGGCTGTGGCCTCGGTCCCACCCTGGCGCTCTCACCCCCGTTTTGTCAGGTACCAGGAGAGGAGCAGCCCCCAGCGAGGGGGGGGATGTGGAAGCAGCCGACGGGGAGCTGGGTAAGGAGTGGGGAGCTGAGACCTGGGACCTCCGAGCTGCCCAGCCCCTGCCACTGGGAGCCCCCTGCCTTCACCCCCTGGGCTGGGGCTGGGGCTCGTGTCCATCTGGGCACGCGTCCATCCAAACAGGCATCCCTTCGGGCACGCACCCCTTTGGGCAGGCAGCGGGCAGGGGGAGGCTCAGGGGCGATCGTGCAGCATCACTCCCGCCCGGCCTTGGGGTGTCCCCCAGGACATCGGGCAGGGCGAGGAGCAGGGACGGTCATGGGTTTGGGGGAGCCCAGCTCTGTGCAGGGATTGGGGTGGGACATGAAATCCCAGGGGACGTATCCACGCCCCTTCTCCTGGAGATAGAGCTGGTGTGGGGGCAGCCGTGGGAGTCTGAGGAGGCTGCGATAGTTTGGGGAGCCGGCTCTGCCCTGGGTCGGTGCTAACCCCGGCTGGGCAGTTGCTGGCATGGCTATAACCCCTCTTTCCTTTCCTTTACACTGAGCCCAAGGAGCCCGGCGAGGTAGGAGCTGGGGGCTGGGAGGGGCTGGGGGGGGGGCCCCGCGGCCCCCCCGCCACGCCGCCACGTCCCCGCATTCAGTGCCCCATCCCTGCTGGGGGGGGGGGACGCCTCTGCCAGCACGCCATCCCACCACACACTGCCTGGCAGGAGCCCCTGCCCCT